GGAGCTTTTCATGCAATTGAATTACAGCAAGACGGCTCGTAGAAGAAAATAAAGCGTTTTTAATTATAGAAACCTGATATAAGTCCGACACAAAATAAATTTACTCAATTTATTTCCAATTAGTTTCAATTGACAAGAAACAATGTGAAAGATCTGACGGTCGAGACGTCTGGCACTGCGATCTCCTGCCAAGCGTGACGTAAAAGGCAATTCCTCCCCACAAAGATTCGACGATGATGATGATGATGATGATTCATGATATACGAGATATATACAAATCGATGTTATACTGCCATCTATCCAAGGCCAATTTCAGTTGAAAATGACAAAATTAGTCCTTATTCTGCACAGGAACGTGTGGAAACCCAGAGCCTTCAAGCAATTAAGAAATATTTTATTGTTAAAGACGCTTCCTTCTAAGAATAATGCACAACCACCGAATGTCTCCTTGAAAAAGAAGTAGTTTTAAAAGATTAAAAAAATGCTAATGTACATAAATAGTTAAGCCAGCGATCAAAATACTTCCTCGTCATTATCAACTAAATCCGCAAATCAAGTTCAATAAACTCAGTAAAGGACGTCTAGAATAATAAGTTAATAATATTAGTGCTTAAAGTGAATTAGATAAGTTCATAGGTAGGCATAACGTAATAAAATCCATGATATCATTAAGATCAAAGAAAGATTCGAATGCTGTGTTAGAGACACTGGAACTGGAATAATTCAAATGCAAATATTTTAAGTGAGCGACTTTCAAAGTCGTTCAGCAGGCTTTGATTAGAGTTTCTATACGTAATAGACTCCATGACGAAAGTTTTCGCAGTAGAATAACATTAAAAAAGATTAATAAAGGGAACACACGCCTAAAAAAAATCAATTTGTGTTTAAACCACACTACCTATATAATTTTTATTCATCTACGTACTTTGACAAAAGTTTATCCGGACAGACCGCGTTCGGTATTAAATTATAGGACATCTAAATTAAGTTGAAATTTTGTGACACAGTACTTAAAATCTTAAGTTTTTATTTTATTAGTTATATATATTTTCACCCGACTGCCAAGGAATGGTTTAGTTTTTCGCGCGTATCTTGTATGTATGTTTGTAAATTTCTTTATTATCTCATATCTTCCAAACGGCTAGATGGATTTCGACAATTAAGGTATCGTTTTATTTATCTTTATAAACCCAAGTGCTTTTAGATTGCTGTTTGAAAACAAAATGGCGAAGTGTTGGTTCAAAAAGGTAATACGTTAATAAAAAAAAACCAAACCTATCGAGTAGAGTATCAATATAAAGGAAATTAAAAGGGAATTACATAAATATTTATAAGTTATATTATGTTTAAATTTAATTAGGAATGATAAATTGGTTGAAAACGTTTTGATTTCATTTTAAAAGTAATGCACTAAAAAGTCCGAAACAAGATTGCGAATAGAAAACAAATTTAAAATAAACTATTCTCTGGTTTAACAGACTACATTATGAGCTAAAAGCCTAAGTTAAATACCCGCATTAAGTTTAGCAGCAGGCGGGATCCAATTGCAAATTATAAACCGAAATAAAATTAATGGGTTCCGTTTACTACTAAACTTAAAGCGGGTATTTAACTTGGGTTAACACGGGGACACAAAAATCCTGTCTGTGTCAAAACTGGTTGACGTGACCGAAAATCAGTGTGGAGGACATTATTATAATGATGTATCTTTACAGCAATCTATATTAAAATATTTCATATAGCTCTCTTGTTAGAAAATTCATTGAATATGGCTACTGGAATCAAAAGTCGCTCCAAATACGGATGGTGAATGATAAAGCCTGGGTGGGCGTCGTTACATCATATTATGCTCAAGCGCAGCGGTCGCAAATGTTTAAACGACAATTCGGTTTCGCATATTGGATCTAAATTATTAAACATAACTTTTATTAATCATGTTTGTTAGAAACATTGCGGGCTTGCAACAACATTAAGTAATGCGTCTGATATTTAAATGGCATCCACATTAATCGTATTTGTGTTTGGAAATACTCATTCAAAACACACACACACACAAACACACAAACACACTCACTCACGCACGCACGCAAACACGCACGCACGCACGCACGTACGCACACACTCACGCACGCAAGCACGCACGTACTCACGCACGCACGCATTCACGCACGCAAGCACGCACGTACTCACGCACGCACGCATTCACGCACGCACGCACGTACGCACGCACGCATGAATGCTTACTGTAACTAACTTACTGCAGCTATCTCAATTTCTCTAATGCATGACAATGTATTGAGAGACAATAAACAATTTATTATTATTATTATTATTAATATTAATATTTAAAAGAAGACGCTCCAAGTACGGTTTGACGGTCTTTCACGTGTTTCCGAACACGTCTTCTCATTCTTAGAGTTATATTTCTTTAGTAGATAGACGTATAATAGATTTACATGTACTTATGAGGTTCCGTGACAGTCTCGTTGGTCTAGTGGTAATAAGCGCAATTTCTGACCATGAGGTCTTGGGTTTGAATTTAGTGTCAGGCCAAAATGAGTTATTTTCTGTCAATAAATTCTTCAGTAGCAACCCGGACTCAATTAGTGGTGTTTTCACCGCCATGATTTGGAAAGCACGTAAAAACGTACGTCCTGCGCCTGATCTCTCTCCGCTCGTGTCGGATTAAAGTTCCATCGGACTATGAGAGTGAGGAAATAGAGAGTACACTTGTAGCTGGCATATACACTTGGGCACTATAATCCTGCCCTGCTGACCGTCTGGAGGAAATTATTATACTTATGAGGTAGCGCTGCGCTGCGGCTGTTATAGTTGCAGCACGAATAGGTTATTTCGACCGAGATAGAACGACGCTCTTACAGAATACCAACGAGAAACAGCAGGATATTGCTGCTGTGTTTCATATGGTAAGTGTAGAGAACCGGAGACCCTATTTACTGGTAATGAGGCGTTGCATCTTAGGTAATAAATGTGACAACGCATCGTTTTGATTCTTAATCGTGGATAGATTTAGATATGCTACAGCTTGTCGCATTTTTTCTATAAAAATGCAATTTTTTGATGGAAGTTTAAATTAGCATTTTCAGTGGTTCTGACCCCGGGTTTCATTTTTATTTGCCCACTTGGCGAGCACCGGCGCCAAGCTACACTAACGTCTTAAAACAAGTTTTAAATTAACAAAGCGTGATTCAAACAACACTCCACATTGACCCGACTCGTGTCAAGTGCGCGACGTAAGGCCTTGCGTAATTGGTGAAATACGTCGGCTAGACGAAACACCACGGTATGACTGTACACCGGGTGTTCTTCATAGCATGAGATGACAAAGAATTAGACCTTCAAAAATATTTGAAAATTTTCCGTGGTCTAAATGTTGTAAATATTTCTCAGACATGCAAGTTTCTTCACGATGTTTTCTTCACCGCCGAGCACGTGGTAAATTAGCACTATGTCGGTATTGCGGGCAGAGAGCAAACCGATGTTTAAAAACTATGAAATTTAATTAATTTCGAGTTTTGTATTTATAGTAAAATTTGTACCCGACTAAATGAAATAAAGTTCATTGGAAATTCGGCATAATTCAAGCAGGTTTATGAGATTTCTTTGTAATTCTCTCTTTGATTTTTATTTTTTAGATATATGTAACTAGCAACGTGTTGCATTGAATATACCCGATACGCGATTACGATCGTTTTTAGTATTGGAAATATGGTAAATATGGAAATACTTCGCTCTTAGAAAATATACCGCAATAAGCAAAGGGTCCAAAGCACAAAGGTAACAAAACTTTTACATGTGATTTTTTTTAATTTAAAATGACAAACAGTTCTCCAGCGATTCTGCCATAAGGACTATATCGTCGGCGTATATCTGTATATATATATCGTCGTAGAATCGCTGGAGGACCTAAGCACTATGCTCAATGACCTCAATAGTGTTTCCCAACGGATAGGTCTTAAGATGAACATGGACAAAACAAAGATTATGTTTACCTATGCCAGTAGTTGTTGGGAGCACTAAGCTCGAAGTTGTTGACGAGTATGTTTACCTGGGACAAATAGTCCGACTAGGTAAGTCCAACTTCAACCAAGAGGTCAATCGGTGGATTCAACACGGTTGGGCAGCATTCGGTAAATTACGGCACATCTTCTCGTCAGGTATACCTCAAAACTTGAAAACGAGACTGTATAACCAGTGCGGGTTGCCAGTGATGACCTATGGAACTGAGACGTAGTCCTTCACTGCTGGCCGTATGAGGAAGCTCAAGGTCGCTCAGCGAGCTATGAAGAGGGCTGTGCTCGGAGTTTCTCTGCGTGATAAACTTAGAAATGAGGATATCCGCAGTAGAACCACAGTGACCGACATAGCCCAACGGATTAGTAAGCTGAAGTGGCAATGGGCCGGCAATATAGCTCGAAGAACCGACAACCGATGGGGAAAAAAGGTTCTCGAGTGGCGGCCTCGTACCGGCGGACGAAGTGTAGGGCGTCCCACCCACTAGATGGAGTGACGACCTGGTAAGATATGCAGGAAGTCGATAGATGCAGATGGCTCAGGACCGTGCTTTGTGGCATTCCTTGGGGGAGGCCTTTGTTCAGCAGTGGACTTGTGAAGGGCTGTAATGATGATGATGATGACAAACAGTTCATGATAAGTGCCTCCTGCAGCCCATAGACATCTGCAACCAACCTCAAACAAGGAACTAATAAGACGAAGATGGAATGACTCACAGACCGACTCCAATGCGAAAAAGGTAACCTAGAGGTTATGTTTTATACCGATTGTTTTGTTATTAGTTCATAAATCTATTTTTATCGCTAAGCGCGTAGATTGGGTATGTCTCGTACTATTAATTTTTAAGGCGACCGCAAATACGACTCCTTTGCTACCTTATGCGGCACTGCTCTTTGAAGTAATTATTTTATTTATTTTTATAAATATTTCATTAAATATAAAAAAACTACTTTATATGTACTTACGAGTAGTATCCCCAAGTGCAGTTTTGGCCGATTCATGATCTTTCTCATTTTGTAGGGGAAGCGGGGAAATAATGTCAAGATTCGTCCTGGAACAAAATACAATTATTAGAGGAAAGGTACCAATTATGGAATACGTCCCTAATATGGAATACCGTAATATTTCTAAAACTTAGCACCACAAATATTCCAAACTTGTGCCATGTTACCCTCCCGCTACCCACATTCAACGGCCAGGGTGCGTGCGGCGTTCGGCGACAATACACGCAAGAGTGCGCGACATTGTTGACGCAACATCAATCGGATATTTAGCTAAGTTTTACGAATATATTCTCTTATTTTTCATACATGAATATCTCAAAATAAGTTGATAAGTATCTGAACAAAGTATGTAGTTTTTAAATGGTATTGTTATTTTACGAATTTTTAAAAATATTAACAAGTTATTTTTATTTTCCTCCCGCCATCACATTGTTCGTAATATGGAATACCGTTGAGGTCCTAATGTGGAATAGTATTATATATTAGAACCTCAACGAAAGCAAGTTTTTAATATGGTGTAGAGTACTGAGTGTAGAGAACCGAGATATTTTTTTACTGATAATAAAGTGAATTTCGTAAGAGGTGACACTGACAGATGGAAACATATCGGAAGATGGGCAGCAGCGTTTTCTGAATTACAACAACAAATAAAATACGGTTGTCAACCCGCCTTCCAAAGGTATTGTGAGGCATTCTATGGGGAGGCCTTTGTTAAGCAGTGGTTTTTGATAGTCTGTAATGAATAAATGAATGAAATTCTTTATAGAAACAATTAGCGCAGTCTATGAAACAGAATAAGACGCCCACCCCAATTTGTATGACCTGTTGTGTGTTCAATGTGTGTGTGTGTGTGTATATATATAACACGTTCACTATACGAGTACAAAAGATATCCCTAGTGTGATAGTGACTTTTTCTTATTAAATTTTAAAAGGATAAATAACATATGGCCCTGAAATTCCATAAAGCGAATTTCAAAGTTTATATACTAAGATAATATATCTAGGATTTCTTAGAAAATATTAATCCACAGTGGTAATTATATACCGACAGTTAAGCCGCATATTCAAAGGTATACAAACACTACGCCTACAAAAAACTACAGTGCAAGCTTAATTCTTAATTAAAGATGATAAAGTGCGCAAATAAATGTGTGGATAGTCAAACTAAAATTAATAAATAAAAAATTAAATAAGTAAACGTAAAGACGATCGACTTGATATACCGCATACTCGAAGGATACCCAACGATAACTACATCAATTGTAGTTTATTCGGCTATTGATAGAGTACCGCTCGTGAGCGACCTTGACACCAGGGATTTCTCTGTCATTGTTCTTGCGCGGTACGACGCCGTAGATATTATTACTTAGGATATCTAGAACGTCTTACGTCTAATATACTCGTAGTCTGTGTTTTCGTTGAATGATATAAATTATACTAATTTTGCCGCTGTTGTGTTAAGTTCACGACCTGATTTAAATGGCTTACAAGATTTGTAGGCATGGAGAGCCGGGAAATTGACATATAAACTGATTAACAATACAATTTTTTTCTAGTAGTGAAATAAAATCTCATTTCTTTTGTAATATTTTCAGAGCCCCGCTTAAGAGCCCCGAACGCTGCCCCGACGGTATCCCGGGTCGAGCACTAGTGCTGAGTCTGGCTACCCTGGGGGACATGCTTATGCAGCTGTTTACCGACTCTCTGCGAAGTGCCAAGTTCCACACCGCATGGAAAGAGGCAAGGTTGGTCCCCTTAAAGAAGAAAGGCAGAGCCCCGATTCTCCCTCTGCGTACCGTCCCATATGCCTCTTGGACGAGTTTGGCAAATTGTTCGAAAGAATAGTTGCCACTCAGCTCAACAGGTTTCTGTCGCGTGTTGGTCCTGATTTGGCTGATAGCCAGTTCGGATTCCGACGAGAGCGTTCTACAGTAGATGCAATCATGCGCTTCCGCTCCCTGTCCGAACAAGGAATATCCCAGGGTGGTGGGCGATAAGTCGCGATATAGTCAACGCCTTTAATTCTCTGGGGCGCAATTAGGAGCGCACTGGCACACCATCAGATGCCCACCTACCTGCAAGGTGTCATCGGGGACTACTTGCGCGACAGGTACATTCTGTACAGGGGCAAAATGGTAGAAGGATTCGGAGGAAGATCAGACGTTCCACAAGGCTCAGTGCTGGGGCCACTACTGTGGAACCTCACCTATGATGCGGTTCTGCGGGTTGAACTTCCCGCTGGTGTCGATATCGTTTGCTATGCCGACGACACGTTGGTGGTTGCCAACGGGGTCACCTTCGAGAGGCCCAAAGAGCTCGCCGAGTTTGGGGCGGAAGTCGTCGTCACCAAAATCCAAGAATGGGGATTAGAAATAGCGCCTAATTAGACCGAGACCCTATGGTTCCATAAACTACGACGCGACAGGGTACCACCCGACTCGTGCGTCTGCGTAGGTGGGTCTGAAGTCTGAGTGGGGCCTCCACCCCGACAGTCGATGGTGCTTCGAATAACGCTTCGAGCACCTTGTTCCATGGATTGAAAGGATAGCGGGTGCTATGCATAAACTGCTGCCCAATCTAGGGGGACCAAAGGAAGAAGTGCGTCGCCTCTATGCAGGAGTGATACTGTCCGTAGCCTTGTACGGGGCGCTTTCGGGCAAAAAGGCTGGCCATCTGACGTTGTAGCGCTAAAATCTACAGGTTGCAGCGGAGGATGCTCATACGAATCTTGCGAGGATACCGCACGATATCATTTGAGGCGGTGACAGTTCTGGCTCGTTTTCCACCTCTGGACATACTGGCGGACATGGATGCGAGGGTGTACGACCAGACGCGTGTCCTCCGCCAGAGCGTCGCGTGCTTTCCGAAGCACAGCACAGGCGTGAGAGAGATAAGGCGCAGGACCCACGGCTTTACGTGCTTTCCGAAGTACAGCACAGGCGTGAGAGAGATAAGGCGCAGGACCCACGGCTTTACGTGCTTTCTTAACAGAACGTATATAATGTATTGATAGCCATATAAATATTTACGATAACAATTAATTGTAACTTTACCTGGAAACTGCACATACTTAATGTATGTTACAAACTAAATTCAGTATTGTATATGTTTAGTCATCTACCGAGTTCAGAGTGTAATTAATTAAGCAACATTGTATAACATTTAACAAAAATTTAAACAAAGACATTAGTGCCTACGAACAACAAACACCTTCACACGCGAGTTCTTGGTACTTTGCTAATTTTTTACTTTTTCCTTGTTACTTCATTTATGTGTCGTTACTAATATAATTTACCTACTTTAAAATATTACACAATATAAGTAGAATAATAAGTTAAATGGAAGCCAACGACTTCTTTTTATATTGTAAAAATAACGGTAATATAATATTTGACGGCTCCGTGGCACAGTGCCTTAGTAATGAGTTCGATACTGAGGGCTGCGGGTTCGAGTCCCGCACGGAACAAGTATTTGTATGGTCTTCTAATAATTGTTCCGGGTCTGGATGTTTCTCTCCTTGTGATACAGGAGAAAATCATAGTGTAGGGGTGACGTTTATAAAAAAAAAACAATACTCTAGCGGATACTACCCATACGGTACATTTCATACACAAACAGAACTTTTAACTTACAAATTACATTTAAAGTTTTTGGTGGATATCCATACTAAAGATAAAGAAAATTTACGAAAAACTACAACTAAATTATTGTTCAAGAAATATGAATTACCTCTACATGAAAAAGTTAAATCGACACTAATATTATTTATTTTATTTTCGTACTGTACTCTAACTACTTTTCTCATTCGTAATCAGTACGTAAACATCCCACTGGAGTCTGACATGAACCGCTAACCTAATAAGAAACATTTGCAGTAATCGCCACATTAATCAAGGTGGATTGGTGAGCAACAGTGGCCTGGCGCCTTGAGCGCTGCTTAATTAATAAAATAACAATAGTATAATATAAACTAATTTCTTTAATGTCATAAAATGTAATACACAGTTTTCAACGAATAGTTTCAAAGTAAATTTAAGCAATAAACAATGGCGTGAAAGTTCCCACAGAAATAATTTTATAAATTACATAATATACACCAGTCGGATAAAAACTAGTTTATGTGTAAAAAATTTAATATGTTAATTTAGACGGACTTATAATTGATAGCAAATAATCGTTCTCGTTGATTTTGACGACTTGAAATAAACACAAAAGATATTTTAATCTGCGCTAAATCGGGGTGTAATGTGAAGTAGGCTTAAAATGTCTCTACTTTGTGTTATAAAAGCGAACAGAAAACGATAAAAAATGTCTTGTAGTGCTCGTAACCATAACAATCTCAAAGAAATCTCGTCATTCTTCTTCGTCAAATTATAGTGATCAATTTTCAAATACGAACTAATAAGGAAATAAAAATTAAGCACAGCTTTTACACGTTACTTGCTTTAATTTTGGACACAAACATAAACATACTCTCATGAAATAGATCAATGTGCTCATATTTCGTTATATTTTGTGTTTCCTGGAGCTGTTTATACCGCGCTATGATTTTTTTAATAACAGAGGGGGCTAATTAGCTTGCCGGTCACCTGATGGAAAGTGTCGACCGCCGCTCACCGCAACAGCAACACCAGTGGAATTAAAGGTGCTTTGCTGGCCTTTTTAAAAGGAGTAAGCTCGTTTCTTGAAGGTATTTTAAGTCGTATCGATCCGGAAAAATCGCCGATGGTAAACGATTCCACAGAGTAATGCATGACTTACTCATTGTAAAACACGGCGACTTAATGCTAGTATTTAATAACCCATAGTTATCGTCCTTATAAACAATCTTTACATATGTGTTTTTTTAAATTATATTTTAAAATAAACTTCTGTTTATTATGTTCTTTAAATATTATATACAGCTATCATGCCGAACCAGATAGCGTTATACTCTCTGTATAACAAATTAAGAACTGTATTCTTTTATGTCGGTCTGTATAACTTTATATGCAGTCCATCACAAGTTCACTGCTGAACATAGGCCCCCCTAAAATTGCCAAAAA